TGCTCTACATACAATTGCATGTTTGATATGTCTATTGCGGGCATAGACATGAACATGTAAAAGAAGCTAACACTAGCAAAAGTTGAGCTGACCTTATGAGCAGCTGACCACAAAGGAAAACAGGTCAACCTCCAAACAACATCCCACTCAGGGACGCCCAAAACTACAGATTGAGATAACTCCGGGCCAAGCTCCTAGCCATCAGTGGGATTTGTGGCGCACCTCAATCATGTCATCATTCTCCAAGTCAAGGTCCTGGGGTGTACTAGCCGAGTTTATTTTGTCACCATCGAATATGAAAATCAGATCAGATGGCTTGAGTTGAACCTTCTTAGCATACACCTTGAAAAGCTTGTCAAATTTCTCATCCTGTAGCGATCAGAAATCAAGATATAAGCATACAGAGATACTCTAAATTATCATTTTGCAAGTTGAATGGAGCGAAATGTTGAAATCCCAGCTTGTACACATTTGAACTAAATCTAATGTACATTAAACTTCAGCCAACGATGAAATGAAAATTTGAAAGTATGTTGGACATTTATTATGTCAAAATGAATCCAGTTAGGCCATAAAACGTGAATGCATGAAATAATTGCAAGTACCTGTTAGCGAATTCGAACTATCTAACAGAAAGATTATATACTGTTATTGCACACTGATACTAGTAACAGTCTCATGAAAATGCTATACCTTGTATACACGAAACTGCAGCTTCACATCTTTGTCCTGAATCATTATAAGTATCTTTTCTCGCGATTTCTTCACGTATGCTTCAGCTGGCTTGCCTAGAGTTGGCTTATGGTGCACCTCAATCATGTCTTCATCCTCCAGGTCAAGGTCCTGGGGTGTACTTGCTGGGTTTATTTTGTCGCCATCAAATACGAAAGTCAGATCGGATGGGCTGACCTGGACCTTCTTAGCATACGCTTTGAAAAGCTTGTCGAACTTCTCATCCTTTAGCAATTATAAATCAAGATTAAGAATACAGAGTTACTGTAGGGAAAGGCTGCGTACAATAGACCCAAAGTGGTCGGACCCTTCCCCAGACCCTGCGCAAGCGGGAGCTACATGCACTGGGGCTGCCCCTTTAAGAATACAGAGTTGGTTTTAATTTACATGTGGTAATGTTTAATGGATGGCAAAATGTCAAAATCCTAGCTTATGCACATTGTACTAACGTAGATACCATTTCAGAAGGTAAAGTTCAACAATAAAATGAAAAGGAGAAAGTATATTGGATTTTTATTATGTCTAACTTAATCTAAACTTGAACACGTCAAATTATTGCAACTGTCAGTCAGAGAATTTGAATTATTTAACAGCAGAGTAACATCACCATGAGAAGTTCATACCTTGCATACACGGAACTGCTGCCTTCCATCCTTTTCCTGAACCATTATGCAGATCTTTTCTTTGGATTTCTTAGTCTCTGATTCAGTTGGATCATCAAGAACTATAGGTTCAGGCGGCTTCTTGGCTGCCATGTCTTTCTTAACAGTTTCAACAACCTTTTCAAATGCATCATCAGGCAGTTTTTCTACCTCTTGTTTCTTTAATCTGAGAATGCCATGCGCAAAAATTGGAAAAGTACAAGTCAGTAACATCTTTATAAACTACCGGCTGGTAGTAAAAAACAATTAAAAGCAAAGGACCGATGCTAACTTTATACTTGCCTGGCAACATAACAGCAATAGCAACAAATACAGTAAAATACATGAGTTTGATTTCCATTTCCAGATGTCTCAGGACGTCCATAGGGCTGATTAACACCATAAACAATAGGTTGAACCAAAAAATACATGTAGAATTTCAAGTAAGACTTGACCTGAACCACTCGTAGGTTGTGTTCTTACAGATGCGGGAATGATAAATATTTGTTATGCCTACTATTCTATACTGAAAGACCAAAGACATTCTGCCCAGTAACTAACTTACTAAGCCATAGTAATCTCCATTTTGTGTGTGCACGCGTGTGCAAAAACCTAGCCTGTTGTTACGTGCACTAGTGCTAAAATCATAACAGTCTGGTGAAACTGAACTAGAATGGGAATATCAAAAAGGCAGGGGAAGAGCTAGGCGAAGTCCGTGCAGCATTTCATAAAGCAACAGCATACCCTATTCAAACTGGGTTTAATTTGGAATAAGATCGGGCAAGGACTATAGGGCCATCTTAGTCCTTGTCTTCGGGGAGTTATGGAAGCACAGGAACGGGATTGTGTTTGATGGAGCTTCACCGTCACTCCGTGGAGTAGGAATGAGGATCTTGGAGGAAGGGAGGGCTTGGAGGCAATCAGGCCTGCTCAAGGGTGACCAGGGGCGGAGCCAGGATTTTGGTATAGGGGGGGCCAAGTCAAGTTCATATTTTTTTGTCTCGACTGAAAAAAAAACTATCATCATACTATAATAATGCGCCACACCTATAAAATATTGTACAAGTTTAAATTTTCCTCTACAATTGCCAATAAGATGAGAAAATTTAATAATTTCATTGGAAGAGAAATTACCTACTAATTTTTTCAATGTATCTGACCATGTAACACCGAAGTAAGTCATATCCCATTTGGCGGCGCTTAAATGGTAAATTACTGTTTAGAGTTTTTTGGGGCACTTTTCGGCAGATATGGTCCCTCGGATATATAAAAATGTCGACCTTCATCTTGCTTGTCCAGTGGCAGCTCTCAAATTTGACAATGTTTACCAAGGTCTCACTGATAAGCCAATTTTGTTCTTGGTCTACAACATTTACTATGTCCAACATACGTCATTAAAAATTTCACTAGGTTGAGAACTTGAAGCAACCAGCCTAAAGAATGAATTAATCTTAACGGTGTATGGCGGCGCTTTTCTCTTCATATCTGCTGAATTGCAATTTCACAATTAGCTATATTGTAGTTTGACATAGGAAAAAATTGCATCCCAAATAATAACTCATACAAGGTAATTTGCATCAGACCACGATAATTTCTAGTACACATATAACATAGGAACTGTTCATAGAATCATAGCATCACTAATCACACAACCAAAACAAGTAGACAACAAAAATCTGATGATATAAGATGAGAATTGAGATTAGTTAATTGTGTGATGTACTGATGTGTGTTAACCCTTGGGTCCTCAGCTAGTCCCGTTGGTTGCAGCCGGAAGATTTGACAAGTGAAGAAGGCAGTGTCGCGCCGTCGCCGTACGAACGAATAGGATCGAGATCACAGCAGGGCAGGGAGAGGAGAGCAGAGGCAGGGCGGGCGAGGGCACGTAACGGCGGCGACTAATTTCTGGGTACTAATACACGTACAGGCTTTTTTTTGGAGCGAAATCCACGTACAGGCTAATCATCAGAGGAGAACGCAGCGCCCTAGTACCTGGCCGCTAGTGGGCTTCACATGGGCCTTTTTCCTTTTTCCAGAATCAACGTTGAGATAGGGGGGGCCAAGTATGTATATACGTGGGAAATACGTGCCTTTGTATAGCTAATCACCACAGCATCGCTCGATGGTTAGGGGGGCCAGGCCCCTGCTCGCCCCCCCCCCCTGTCTCCGCCACTGAGGGTGACCTCGAGAGTTTCTTTCAAGCGTTGACACAGTGGGTTGGTCGGGAGTAGTTAACCCACTTCGTCGTGTAAGGGTGGACTTGGGTGTGTTTTGTAACAAACCCATGTAGAGGGGCTCTTCACCCCCTTTCTTTCTATAATATATGATACGCATGCTTGTGCGTATTCGAGAAAAAAAATTGGCCTAGGATCCCATAAGGCGCTATTATATGTCTAAACAGTATTGACATCTGAACTGTGAAGATACTGTTCTGACTTTATTCCTGGCATTGGAGGAGTATTTTATAATGAAAGGGCATGATTGTGTTTGAGAAAATGAATAACCAGGATACCTGGAATAAGCAGCTATAAAGCAAAAACATAGCACCTTGGCAGCACTTACTTGTCATGATCACTATAACACCTACAGACCTAACCTGACAAATTCCAGCTGCAATGAGCCACGCAGTAAGAATCTGGGTGCCACTGATTGCTTGGCACATGATGGTATCGTCTGATCAGCATATTAATGAGCCAACTGAATTCAACTAAAGTAGACAAATCTCCAAAATGATCATCGCGTCATCTAATCATAGCAACCAGTCTCGTCACGCCAATATCTCACTAGTATCGGTCATCAACTCATCATCATGGTCAAAAACAGCTAGCCTCGCAAGATGGCACAAAGTAGAGATAAAACATTGTGATACCTCAGCTCGTGCATCGTTTTATCCTTGCATACTTCAGTGCTAAGCACAGGCTTCAGCGGCGGCGGAGCCAGCCAATCCTCATCATCCAAATTCACCACCGTGGCCTTCTTTATGCCGGCGTCGCCCTTCTCGTTAGCCTTACCCCCCTCCTGCAAGACACGCAGATCGGAATGAACACGTTACCTTTCACAGCCAAAAACCAAAAACCTCACCCATCAAAACGAATTGAACTCTGTCATACTCACGACAGCGTTCGCGTCGTCGTCGGCGGCGGCGGGCACCTTGGGGCGCTTGTTGCAGTGGACGAAGATGTCCGACTTCTCGAGGTCGGAATCTGCGCATCCAAACGGAGAAAGGTCGGTCCTAAGCAACTTCCACGGAAACCCTAGGGCATGGGGTCGCGGGACCTTACCGTCGAAGCAGAAGTCGATGGTGGGCTGCACGCGGGAGTAGTCGAAGAGCGGCTCGAGCTCCTCGCTGTCCGCCCCCGCCGCCGGCACCTCCTCCTCGTGCGCCTGCACCAACCCACCATATGTATCAACGCCAATACCGACGCGAACCGAAACAATTCTAAACGAAGGAACCAATAGAGGAATTCCTCGGCGGATCCCGGGGTTCAGGGGTTTAGTGATCGGAAAGGGCTACCTTCGGCATCAGAACCGCGCGATTTGGGAATGCCTGGGCTAAATTCGAGAGGTGGGATTTGGGATTTCGATTGCTCTCGGTTTGATTTGGCGGTATTTCGAAGAAGGCGGGCGAGGGGGTGAATTGGGTTTGGGAGGGAGGCGGGGGAGGGAAAGCGGCGTGGCGGTCGTCTTACCAGATTTGGTGGATTTGAATTGGGACGGGGCTTATCTATCTTACCTCTGTTCTTAGGAGAAGTGGAGAACTCATAGGGGTTGGCGTTCCATGCTTCAGATAATCAGATACGGAGTAATACATTCTATGGTTTTTTTATCATTATTAAAAAATCATTAAAGTTTTACCACGGTTTCGATGGTACCCTGGTAAAAGTTAGGGCACCTCCAAGGGTCCTTCCTCGTTTGTCCATTAGCAATGTTCAGACAAATAAGATGGACAATTTTACCGTGGTATCCAATGAGACCTTCCTTTTTTTAATTCTTCATTTTTATTTTTATTCGACAACTATTTCTATTCCACCACATTTTTAAGACAGTATAGAATCGAGCACTATTCCAGCCCGCTTACATCATATGCCTTTTTGACAGTCGGATCGCTGATCCGGTCGTCCCTTGTGCATTCCATCGGTAACTGGGTGATAGCCTACAAGTACACAAGGTTTAGTTGTAGCCCTTTTAAAATAAGAGGACCGATCCTACACGAAGTACATGAATCAAACGTTTGCCCTTTTGTAGAGAATTACGTAACTTTGTGCCTGCGGATAATTGTAGACCTGAAGCAGAGTGAGGGCGGATTTAAATAGGGTTTTCTATTTTTATGCCCCTGGTTCCTTAGATGTGCTCAGTTTTGTCCAAGCCAACTATTTTTGCTCACTTTCCCACTCCTCACTTCATCACCTGCTCACAAAAGGTCAAACGGAGCAGTGGATCACTGTCGTCCAGTCAACGCCATTGACCGTTACGTCATGACTAGTGGGCCCGTGTGATATCCTGACAGGTGGGCAACCTACTTCCTGCGCGACGTTTTTTAACGAGTAATAGAAGGAGAGACAGTTGGTAATAAAAAAAAGTTGTTGTGCCATGTTTTAAGGCGGGAATAACTAATTAACGACCAGGCGATAAACGGTCGTCAACGTAATGAGCTTATGTCAAGGCAGGTGGGTCCCCTGTGCATGACTGAACCCTCCTTGCTCCACTCTTCTTTCTCGGCGGCGGGCGCCGGAGCTATCGTTCTTGGCTGCTGCGGAAGAGGTGAGTAAATTCAGAACCCTACTCCGTGTCGAGTTAGATCTGACCGCAGTGCCTTTGTTTTCGGATGATTTGGAATCTAGATTGTGGGGGGCACGAGTGGGCTAAACGAGATGGAACTACCATTGACAAACAGGGGGGATGGTGCTGCAAGGGTTGCTACCGTTGATTGGAATTTGGTAGAATTAGATGACTCTACAGATTTGTTCACTGCACCAATGGCCAACACTGAGGTGGCAATTTTTTGGCATAACAGTAGATGATAGAGATAATGAGGAGAGGGGGGCTCTAGCTTGCCTGTTGATGCTAACAGAGATTCATCCGAAGATGTGGATGGACAGTTGATGGAAGATGCTGCAAATGGTGTTGATGATGGACATGATGATGAGATGGTAAATGTCTATGACAAAGAAAACCATGTTATTGTAGCGGGAAGTTGTGGCCAAACACGGATGAGTTTTGTATGAGTTTCAAGACTTATGTGGTCAAGCATGAGTTTGATGCCAAGACTAAGTGGACTGATAGAAAGAAGTTATATGCGATGTGCAGAGGATTTGATGAAAACGCCAATCCTGGCAAGTAATACATATCTGCTAGATGCTAACTTGATGGAAGTATCATCGGGATTAATCAAATTCCACATCAGCATACGTGTATTACAAGTTCAAAGAGAGTACCAACCATGACATCACAAATTTGGGTTGCAGAAAAGATCAGTCCTATTTCAGCCAAGAAAACAAGCACTACCGCAAAGAAACTTTTAGTAGATTTAGAAAATTAGTACCCCATTAAGCTGAAATATACCATAGTGTGGAAGGCAAAACAAAGGGCAATGAAGCAATTATATGGTGATTAGGCAAATACCTTTAGGATGCTTTATAACTTCAAAGCAGAGGTGGAGAAGAGGTCACTTGGCAGTGTTGTTGTGATAGATACTGAGGTAACAGAGGATGGCAAAGTCGTTTTCTCTAAGTTCTTTATGGCTTTAAAACCTTGCATTGATGGCTTCAAAGCAGGATACCGTCCATATTTGAGCATAGGTTCTTCTTCTTTAACTGGCAAGTGGAATGGTCAACTGGCAGCATGCAATGCTCTAGATGGCCACAATTGGATGTTCCCTGTTGCTATTGGCTTGTTTCAGTTAAAGACAGAGGTTTCACGGACATGGTTCATGGTGCAGTTGAAAAGATGTATAGGGCTAGTGTCACCTTTGACATTCCACACAGATGCATGTAAAGAGCTAGAAATTGCAGTCAAGAGTGATTTCCCCCATGCTGAGCAGAGGGAGTGCTTCGTCTATATGTGGATGAATTTGATCAAAAAATTCAGGGGGGGGGGGATTTGAGGACATGTAGCCAGCTGCATGATCTTACACTACTCAAACACATTCATATCATCTTGGTAAGATAATGGCAGCATGCAGTGAGCTTGTTCCATGGATGAACACCTACCATTCTCTGTTATGGTACACGTCAGGATTTAACACTACCATCAAGTGTGATTATATCAACAACAACTTGGCAGAGAGTTTTAACAACAAGGTGAAGGAGTTTATAAACTTGCATGTGCATGACATAGTTGACCAAATAAGGATCATGATCATGCGTTTGTGGGAATTGATAAGAAGGATTGATGATTTTCTGCAAGGGGATAAGCTTCTTGTAGTGGTATAGCAGGAGCAAAAATGTTACACATTTTCCTGTTGAAAAATCTACAGTGTGGGATGCTGAAGTTAGAGATACAAAGTCTAGAAGGCAGCATGTTGTTAACACTGAAATGCATAATTGCACTTGCCTAGAGTGGCAACACACTGGGAAACCATGTGAGCATGCCATGCTTTTCTTGGCCTCCCGCCTGAATATAAACATGCACCAATATTTCCATGAATATTACTCGATGGCATGATTTAAGGTTGTGTATGCAGCTCCAATTCCAGCACTTACAGATCACTCTCAGTGGCCTGAAGTAAAAAATTGAATTTTCCATGTGTCCTCCCTTAACGAAAAGAAAGGCTGGCAGGCCTAAGGAGAGTGCATTCAAGGCATCGTTTGAGGAATGTGAGAGTAAGAAGGGAGAGAAAGATTCAAAGCCTAAAAGGTCCTAGAAAGGTAACAAGAATATATGCAAGTTGTGCCAGGAACTTGGGCAACAAAAAGGATCTCTAAAATGTCATTACACTCCTAAAAGGCCAAAGTATGTTCATGTTTGTGATGGTTTTTGATTTGGTTGTTTTTTCAATTACTAACCAAATGACATGCTTTGTTTGTGAGGAGGAAGCGTGCATGCCAGCCCCTGGTTGCTGAAACACTGCAAACTAAAGCTAGTCCAGTGAAGAAAACGAAGAGCATTAGTGGGCTTTGTGTTGTGAAATCAAGAGCAAGCTGTCGTAAGAAGAAGTGAAAACTATTGGTTTATGAGTCTCATTTTGTGTGATATAATGCTACTTGTATTTTGATGTGTGTTGTACTTTAAAAACTATGCACCATGTTCCAAATTTGAGCCAGATTTCAGATTTGAACCGACTTTCAACTTTGAGGCACATTTCAAATTTGTACTTTGATGTGTATTGATGTTCCAATGCATTCTCAACTTTTATGCATGTTAGGTGATCAATCCGAGCATTTTTGTGAAGTAAACCACATATTCATGAAAAATGAGCTCCAAAGCTAGGGTAAACAACCCTTTTTCTAAGTTTTTTTGTACTTCTCCAAATGAGCTAAAAAACTTAACATCTAGTATATAGGAGCCCATGCGCAATATGGGATCATTTGGACAAACTATGCCATCGTTAACCCTAAACCCTAGCTCATTCCCCTAGAAAACCATACATCCTTGTCCATGATAGCTAAGTTATGTGAAGGGAATTTCATGAAAATATCCGTAGTCATAATTTCTTATTTTCCTAGCAACTTAGTAAGATAAAACAATGATGTTCGGAAGTTTCATATTTTTTAATTAGTTATGCTCAACCCTAACCTTTGAAACCCTCTCAAAAACCCCTCCAACCCCTCTCAACTCAAGAATTACAACTCGATACTTAGAACAAAATATGACTATATATAAATGCATTCAGCGGTGTACCGGGATGTGCAATGAATCAAGAGTGACATGTATGAAAGAATTATGAACAGTGGCTTTGCCACAAATACGATGTCAACTACATGATCATGCAAAGCAATATGACAATGATGAAGCGTGTCATAATAAACGGAACAGTGGAAAGTTGCATGGGAATATATCTCAGAATGGCTATGGAAATGCCATAATAGTATGGTGATTGTTTTGAGGAAAGTATATGGTGGGTGTATGGTACCGGCGAAAGTTGCGGGGTACTAGAGAGGCTACCAATGGTGGAAGGGTGAGAGTGCGTATAATCCATGGACTCAACATTAGTCATAAATAACTCACATACTTATTGCAAAAATCTATTAGTTATCGAAATGAAGTACTACACGCATGCTCCTAGGGGGATAGATTGGTAGGAAAAGACCATCGCTCATCCCCGACCGCCACTCATAATTAAGGAAGACAATCAATAAATAAATCATGCTCCGACTTCATCACATAACGGTTCACCATACGTGCATGCTACGGGGATCACAAACTTTAACACAAGTATTTCTGCAATCCACAATTACTCACTAGCATGACTCTAATATCACCATCTTTATATCTCAAAACAATCATAAGGAATCAAACTTCTCATAGTATTCAATGCACTTTATATGAAAGTTTTTATTATACCCCTCTTGGATGTTTATAATA